GTCAATTGCTCGACGGATATTTTCCTTAAGAACATCAATTGTTTGAGCATCGTTAGTGTAACAGCGGTGCTTAACGGTACCCCATAGGAAGTAATCACAGCTTTGGGCTATCCAATGAACGTCTCTAAAACGGCTCAAACGCGATGACCGAACTTCGATTGTTTCACGGCTGGTGAGGCATGTTGCGCCATCCTACTAGAACCAGAGATTGTGCAAGTGCGTGTCGTCTAATAGTGGTCATAAAAAACTAGGGACCAATGATCCCACCGCTCCAAAAGCTACACCAAACAGATACTTTTTTTGGATGCATGGGTTTTTCTATGACGATATGTGGGTTTTCAGAACCCCAAATCCTACAGTTCTGCTTGTTAACGTAACGTCCCAGATGGAAATGGGCTTCGTCCGAAAAGATGATTTGGTGACCAAAATTGACGTCAATTTCCAAATGATTTAGAGCCCACACACAGAAACGATACCGAAGCGGATGATCATTTTGTTTCAACTCTTGCACAAATTGCACCTTGTAAGGAAACAATCCCAGGTCGTTATGCAATATTCTCCGCACAGAAGGGCGACTGATGCCCACTTGTTGTGCTCTGTGACGAGTTGACATTTTTGCGTTTCCACGCACACTCTGAGCAACGCAACGGGAGCATTGCTTTTGGCTGTACGTACGGGTCGCACACGCTCATACCTTCTGTTATCCACAAGCAGGCCAGTTTCGAGAACCTTCTTCATGAATTTTCGTATACCAGTCGCGGAAACAGCTTCATTCCGACCAAATAGTCTTCTTAATGTTCGCAAAGTTTCTGCAACTCAACACTCACTTTGAAAATCGTTTTTCAATATTTCCCGCCTTTGTGGATCCATTGCTCACAGCGGAAGTTTGACACAATATATCTGTCAATATGTTGAGCATGAAAGCGTTACCAACTGTCAAAATAATACCAACTTAAAACCAACTGATAGCCCACCCTTAATAAGCTGTAATATTCAATCTCAGTATTGCTTAGCCGAACAAAAGGCAAGACTAGGCCGACAACCTTCCTAATAAAATGTCTTCCACTGAAGCAATAGATGCAATATGAACAAACCCCTCACCCCGTACAACCCCCAGCCCCCGATTTGTAACTCGCTCAAATAATTTTCTGGGAAAGGGCAGGAGTCTCTGCAATGTCAAAAAATAAAGCGATTTTTTGGCACACAGGCAAATCTTTTCCATCTTTGGCAAAGCGGTAACCTTGTGCAGAATTTTATATAAAAATTCGAGCTGTACTTTTCGAGTTATACAGGAGTCAAAGATTAGCGGTCAGACAGACAGATCAATGGAAATAAGTAACATGTACATATGATGTAACATCCAAAAACCATTATCGAACTTTTTTGAGATCATATTTTCTCGCCAGTTGGGCATTTTAAATTAGCTATGGAATTGGCTAAATTTTCTTGTGGAAAACTGTCACACTTTTGAGAACTGAGAGTAGGGGTTCGTCGAGTCAAGTAGCTTGATATTTTTAGAAACTACTTGACAATAAAATTACATGAAATGGTAATGCTTGGCTTGACTTGATTTTTTTTTATTTTCCTACTTGACCTTCAAACTAGTTACTTGATGGTGAATTATATGCTTGTTCTACTAAAGGCCTTCAGTAACTCTTTATTGACACCTGTAACATGAGCGTCCACGAAAAAGGAATTTTCTAGGGCTGCACTAGTCATTACGGAGCCCCGCAACAGATTAAAGGATAAGTCCGTTAGGACCCTTATATGTTTTAACTCGTGGTTAGCGAATGAAAAACTGATCCAGAGTTTTTCATTTTCTTATATCAGCTGAGAAATATTTTTTTATATCTTATAGTAGTTTACAGTTTTATTGTTTTTATAATTATTAGTTATACGATGCACAAGATATTTTGTTGAATATGGCGTTATTTCAAGTCAAATAACTAAAATCAAGGCAAGTAGTGAATCCCTAACTCAGAGTAATAAACTCAGTTGACATATCACAGACGCGCTAGATCATCGAGCATCCATCACGATAATCAGACTTGAGACTGCGAGACGAAGCACTCTCACTAACTAGTCAGATTGTTCTTCTGTGTAGCAGTGAGAGTTGGCTTCCTAATAAAGCATAGTCGCATTCTATATTTTCCACTGTGTATTCTATCGGTAACCAAATATACTAAGTTACATATAAATCCAAACACCCAGTTTAAATGGTTTTATTTTAATAAAAGTTGGTGAATGTATTTATCTTACTGTAAATAACAAGTGAAAAAATTTTCAGCCTTATCAGTTGGACACTCCAGTTTTTATACTGCTTTTTTAATTCACTAACGCTCTAAAAATGAATATTTCAGCCGCAGTAAAGAATCAACGTTGACGGATTTTGGTTCTTGACAATCTTTACGATCGGTTACGATGCCTAGAGTACGGAGACCTGTACGATTTGGTCAACTTAGTGAGTTTGATAGGGGCCGTATAGTGGGACTTCGGGAAGCTGGACTTTCTTTTCGGGCAATTGCAGTTAGAGTGCAAAGAAGTGTAGACACTGTGGTTAGGTGTTATCAGGCATGGCTTCGAGAAGGCCGTACGCAAAGAGCAAGGGGCCCTGGACGCCGCCGTAGAACAACATACCGTGAAGATCGCCGCCTAAGATTATTGGCCTTAAGGGACCGTTTCTCCACTACCAGGTCCATTGCAAATGAATGGTTTGCAGAACACGGAAGACCTATTGGCATGCGAAGTGCTTACCGACGAATGAGAAGAAGAAATTTTTATCATTCACTTATTATGCTTCATTAAGTACTTTATTAAAATAAAACCATTTAAACTGGGTGTTCGGATTTATATGTCACTTAGTATAAGTTCGTGCGGTTGCTGTATATCGCACATTGCCATGGATATTGTTGATCGATAGCGATTGTTTGTTACCTGTTGTCACTTTAGTATGAATCCTTCTTTTCTCACATACATAAAAAGTTGCTGAAAAGTGTTACATATCTAGTTTTAATAATTGAAAATGGCGACGAATAAAACAGGAATTCGAAGTTGAAAATATCTACCGCATTCAGAGATGATGCCGTTAGTGATCGAACAGCACAGAGGTGGTTAAAAAAATGTACTTCGGAAGATCTCAGTTTGTGCGATGAACCGCGCTCAGGGAGACCAAAAATCATGAACAACGAGGATCTTCGACAGGTTGTGGACGCAAATTATAGGACAACGTGCCAAGAACTTGCAGAAATATTCAGCGTGCATCCTGAAACTATTCGTTTGCATCTTCATCAGCTAGGAAAGACGTGGCAGTTGAGAAAATGGGTCCCACATGAACTGACAAAGGATAACAAATTAAGTCGTCTTACCATATTTTCAGCAAGCATTTCACGTAACGCTAATGAACTATTTCTTAATCGGATATTAACCTACGACGAAAAATGGATCTTGTATTCGAATTCTAAGCGTTCGTATCATTGGTTGTCGCCTACTGATTCGGTACTACACACCCCAAGGCTTTCTTGCACCCAAACAAGGTTTTGTTGTGTGTTTGGTGGACAGCAACTGGAATTGCCCATTATGAGTTTTTGGAAAGGGATCAACCCATCACTGCTAACTTGTATTGTGAGCAACTTCAAGGAGTACAAACAGCACTCATCCAGAATCAGCCTTCTTTGATCAATCGGAAGAAAGTGATATTCTTGCAGGATAACGCCAAGCCTCATACCGTCAAAGTGACCCGAGAAAAAACGTTACCGCACCCGCCATATTCTCCCAACATTTCGCCCAGTGATTATCACCTTTTTTTTGTCTCTTGACAACTGTATGAGGTACCGACAGTTCAAAACTCTAGATGGTGTAATAAATGCAATATCGGCATACAAAAATTGGTTCCACGTTGGCAAAAGGTCATTGAATGTGATGGTAACTACTTCGACGAATAAATAGTGTCTTATTGTTTCTCAATAAAAATTTATATTTTTCTACTAAAAACCGCACGAACTTATTTGGTTACCGATACAGATTTTACTTCTGGGTATTTTCACACAATGCAATCAACAGCTCTAATTTGCCGGTACGTTTCAATGTATGTAGGTTACTCCTCAACATGCAGGTATGACATTTTTTATCGTAGTATGTCATCCGGAGCTGGTAAAACAACACAAACGATGTTCCGCAGAAAATAATGACGTATAATTAACTGTGTTAGACGATATGATTATTTAATGATCTGGTCGAGTAGCTGAAATGGCGAAAAACATGTAATTATCTCTCGCGAAAATGATTTTCGTGCGAGAAAAGTTAACCGCATACTTCCGACTTGAAGTTGTTTAACTAGAACAGCGCGAATAGCTTCTAGAAGACCACGGCAGGGGTATTACGTATCTTGAAAAGTGACATTATGTCGATTTTCTTTGACATTATGCAGTTTATTGTCACATTATGTAGATTTCGCTACAAGATATCAACTTAGCGCTAGTTGCTGTACACTTGTTGTGTAGGGGAGTAGTGGCATGAAAGAGCCAGTTTTATAGACGTAGCCAAAAAATATACTTTTAATGAATGAAATGATTATTTTTTTAGTCAAACTATTATTTATTTATTAAAGTATATATTTCATACAAAAAAATCTAAAATACGGTATATAAAACCAATGAACTATACGTTTTTTAAAAATGTGTCATTTGGCTCTTTGATAACATTTCGGCATTGAAAGAGCCACTAAAAGTAATGAAAGGGCCAGCTTGTATTATAACTTGAAATTGTGAAAATTATACAAACTAATAAGTATACACTATTAAAAAACAAACGAAAAGACAATTCTAACAAATTCTTTTTAAAAACTAATGATATTTTATAATAAATATAAACTTAACATATTAGAGGCGGATTATTTTTTATCAATAACAGTGTTGAAATTAAATAAAACAACAAATAATATCTTTTATCAAAAACAAAATCGTTAAATCTATCAGAACAGAATATAATGCGTATTCTTCAAATTAGAAACATGTCTTGCAAAAGAAATTAAGGTTCCCCTTAATACTACAGCATTCATGAGCCCAACCAGAACAAATTTTGCACTGAAACCAATCTTGATCACTGTCTTTATATGTTTTGCTGCAAACTACACAATCATCACTATTGTTATTTGTCTTTGGGTTTATTTTGCTTCGAACACCCTTTGTTTTTAATTCAGCCAATACGATAGAGTCAGACGAATCTGAGTCATCTTGCAGAACGGAATTTTCTTTATTTATTTCTGATTTTGTTTTAAGCGTTTTTATGGAGTCTTTTGTAGTCATTTTCTTAAAAGTAGCTTTTGGTTTCTTTGCACTATACTCTTTCCCCTCTATTTTTTTCCTTTCGGGAGAGTCGGTTACGATAGCAGATGACATTTTTCTATTATTTCGTTTCGTGTTTTGTCTTGGCCCCGCTTTAGAAAATGGTCTTATCATCTCCGGTGATATAATTCATTGACTCGGATTTGCAGCCGTGGAGGTGGAGGTTGAACGGTGAGAGAGTCTGATATTCTGATCTATTAGAAGCTCATTTTCTTCGCCAGCTTCAAGCGATTTTGTAGAAGATGGAGGTGTTGTTTCTAAGTTTCTTTCCATACTTTCCTTATACAAGTTCAAACCATCGTTTGACTGCTGATCAGGTCTATCAGTCACATATGAAGATAAAAATGCTTCTTCACTAAATATATTAGAATTTAATGGATAAATTCCTGTTTTCAAAAATCCTTGTGTTATATTCTGTGGACTGAAAGCTGACAAATATGCTTCTTTTACAAATTGCCCAATTTGATAAATAGTAACTGTTTTTCCAGGGTTCGTCAACATCCATTCATTCATGGCAGTGCGGTACCTAGTTTTGAAAGGCCCATATACTGTGATATCTAGTGGTTGTAGTTTATGACTGCAGTGTGGTGGGAATGTAACTATTATAATGGAGTTTTGTCTGGCAAATTCAACCACTCTGAGATTTACATGGGAGGTGTGATTATCCATTAATATCAATGCTGGATTCTCTTTTGATGGCCTGACATGTATTACAAAGTGTTCAAGCGCTTTCACAAAACAGTCTTCAGTCATCCATCCAGAAACTTGAGCCAATCCTAGGGCTCCTGGCGGACCATTATTTAACACAATATCTTTATAGTTTACTCTAGGAAACACAAAAACGGGCGGCAAAAAACCACCAGCAGCATTAATAAAGAACAGAGTTGTCACCAATGTTCCTCGTTCGGCTGAGGTAACTTGCCCAATTTGTTTCGAACCCCTGTCAGCTATGACCTTAGGAGGATTGGTGACGGTGCTGCAGCCTGTTTCATCGGCGTTAAAAATCCTATGAGGAGGAAATTTGTATCTTTGTAAAACAGTGTTTAATTTCTCAAAAAATGTGCTTACATTAGCTTTATTAAAACTTGTTGCACGGGATAGAGAAGTGCTTTCAGGTTTTCTCACAGTTAAGTCTTTGTGTCTGCTCATAAACCCTTTGAGCCAATCATCAGTCGCAGTTTCAACTGCTTTCCATTTGGGTGGACAGATATCATTGGCTACGACATAATCAAATCCTAACATCTTTGCTTGATGTCTTGTTAGGCCATGGCACATTTTAGATGCGGTCTTTAAATAATCTGCAAGCATATTCTCCTGTTCTGTTGTGAAAATACGCCTGTTCCCTATATTAGGACAGTGTTCATATGATGAATCGCCAGACGTCTTTACTTTTTTAACGATTTTAGCTAAGTAAGCCCTCGATATGTTTAAGGCAAGTGCAGTTCTGTTTATGGACTGACCTTTCTCCAAAACTTCACTGACTGCTTCTTCAATTACCGATTTTTCGGGTCTTTTTCGTTTTTTTGAGCCAGCCTTCTCCATAATGCAGTATCTGAAGCAAATAATTTAATAATATATAAAAATGCATATTTATTATTATAATAATTTATTACTAAAACTTAAATATAGGGTTATAAAAGAGCCGGTTATGAAAGAGCCAGCTCTTTTAAGCCCTATGCACCCGGCTCTTTCATAACTTATTGGTAAAAAATATATAACCTTCAAAATAACAGCAATATAAAGCCTTTTGCCGCTTAGTGTTTACGCAGTTGCAAGGCCAATTATATGCACAAACTGAATCTACAATCCACATACTTATATTTGTTTACAATAAAATGCCAAAAAACTACTTAGATAGAGCAAAATACTTACTTTTGGATGCCAAAAATTTTGACTCGATGTACCGCCGCCTGTTATCACTAGCGAACTGTCAAATGTTTGTGGGTGGCGGAAAATCAGTGCTGCCACCTTAAAATATGATCACCCACCAAATTCGTTCCTAAACCACCGAAATAATGCAAGTGGCTCTTTCAAAACCTGGCTCTTTCATGCCACTTCTCCCCTACTTGTTCGGTAGCTTTACGTGTTGCCTAAACGTCAGGACGCTTCTGGTATCAGTTTTGGGCTCTGGTGTGATATACCATTTTCTTCACAGATGGCATTATTGGAGGTCTAAGTCTAAGCTATAAGTTGTATACTATAACTGGAAGGAAACGGCATAGGTGCATAGTGGATATTTGTGTGCTGGTAATCCGAGTTGATAATTCCATTGGTTTCCTGTCTCAAAAACACTAACTTGGGATGCATGCAAAGCTAAAAATTAGTTGCGCATCTGCTTTTTCTTATTCAACCTTGAAATTACGCATGCAAATTTGCTGAGTTTAAAAAAATGTTGCATTTCACATTAACTTGTATTTCCAGTCATTTAAATTTTGTAGAAATTTATTCTACTATGTCTAGTAGAAAATACAAATCAGCGCCTAGATGTGGGGCAGTGCGAAAATGTTTTGTATGTGATGCGTCAGTCCTAATTTTTGTGTGATGTAGCTTAATTACACACAACCTGGGTGTGCTGCTGATTTCCCGTTATGCTGCTCAACGTTTTTGAAAACGCAAAAAGGGGATATACGTAATGTATACCTTTGAACATAACGTCTCTTCAGAAGGGACAACACACATAACCGGTCTGGCACAGCTAATAGATATACGAGGCGTGTCCGTAAAATAAGTTCCACAAATTTTTTTCATATCAAAAAATTGGTTTAATTGCAAAGAAAATACATTTTTGGAAAGTTCAGTCTTTCTTTTATTTTTCTACATAATCGCCGTTGCGTTCTATGCATCTCTGCATTCGAGGCACCCACTTCTTCAAACCAGAGTCATAGAACTCTGCCGCCTGTCCGTGTAGAAAACTAACAACCGCGTTTGCACCTCTTCATCTGTCTGGAATTGGGTTCCGCCAAGGTTTTTCTTCAACTCAGGGAAGAGATGGAAGTCACTTGGTGCTAAGTCTGGGCTGTAGGGTGGGTGAGACACCATTTTCCATCCAAATCTTTCGATGAGGGCTGTGGTTCGATTGGCGGTGTGCGGTCGGGTATTGTCATGGTGAAAACGCACTCCTTTCGTCAGCATTCCTCTTCTCTTGTTCTGAATGGCACGTCTAAGTTTTTTCAAGGTCTCACAGTACCGGTCAGCATTGATTGTTGTCCCGCGAGGCATAAACTCGCACAATAATACGCCCTTTCGATCCCAAAAAACGCTAGCCATGATTTTCCCGGCAGACAGGATTTGTTTGAACTTCTTTGCTCTTGGTGAAGAAGAGTGCTTCCACTGCTTCGATTGCTCCTTTGTTTCCGATGTGGTGTAGTGTACCCAGGTCTCGTCACCAGTAACAATAGAGTCCAGAAATTCCTCTTCGGTTGTTCCGTGAAAAGCGAGAAATTCTTGGGCCGCTTCAACCCGCTGCCGCCGGTGGTCTGCAGTGAGCATTCTTGGTACCCATCTTGCGCAGACCTTTGAATAGCCTAAATGTTCAGTCAAAATCTTGTCAATTGTGGTTTTGCTGACCTCCGGAATCTTGGTGCACAGCTCCCGAACTGTAATCCGTCGATCTTCAAGCATTGCCGCTTCGACTTTGGCAATTGTTTCGTCGGAAACCGATGGCCGCCCTGTACGGGCTTCGTCGTGGACGTCTGTTCGGCCATTTTTAATGTCCCTGACCCATCTGCGCACCATCCCGCAGCTCATACAGTCTTCTCCATACACTTGACAAAGTTCTTCGTGAATTTCCTTCGCCGATTTCTTCTTAGCGGCCAGGAAACGAATAACAGACCGCCACTCGCAGCTGGCGGGAGACGCAAGAGGAAGCTCCATCGCTGACGGCTGCTGAGCCAAGACTAAACGTCGCAGCGACGCTGGCTTGGTGAGGGATTGGAGTGGGGGAACCAAACAATCTGCCTTCTGTCTCTGTTGCCTGGCTGTGCATAGAAACGATCCTAGCGGCAGCGGCAGCCCGTGGAACTTATTTTACGGACAAGCCTCGTATTTCATGCGTAGCATAATCAGTAATAATTTTCTCAAATAGGAAATATCATTGATTATACTCTACAGACTATCTCAGCATTCTATAACCAACAAAGCATGATGGGGAACCATCAAGGTGTCGAAAAAAGGTGGTAATCTTCAAACGTTTAGCTTAGTTTAGTAATTACAGGGAAAAATATTATTACATGTATATTTTATAGAAGCAAAATGTTAAAGAATTTAATTCCCTAGAGAATTGTTTGTATTAATTTTTTAACATAGGATAGATTTTTTTCGACACGCGTTTATCGAAATGACGGCAAATGCTCCATCCCTATCATGACGCCATTTTGAATGTAATTAGGAAGCAGTAATGTAACAATATTTTCTATTCTATATTATATGTACATATAATCTAAAATCTAACAATAGCACCAAAGAAATTATTCACGGTCTCAAAAATTGTAGAGAAAAATTACCTACTTCCTGATCTATTTTACATAGGACGGGCATCATCAAAATTGCAAACGCGCATTCATTTGTAGCTCGAAAATTCAACGTCAGTGTGTACCGACAGTTACAGTGTCCGTGTTTTCCGAAATCCATAATTATGAATCTCGAAAAAAACTCGATTTGATAAAAACATTTCACCGATTTCGGTATTCCCGAACCAGAGCCTCGATATCATTAGGTAACTAAATAGATTGTCATTGCGTTCAAAAAGACTACCGAAGTGGCCGAAACGTCGCACAATAAACAGATATTAAAACATATAATAAGTGGTTTGATTCGAGCACACAATGGAATCCTATGTAACTCCAGGAGGCTATTTCTGTATTCATTCCAGTCTTTTGAGCCCTCTCCCGCATTTTTACAACAATACGCCAACATTCCAACTACCTGTATCAAGCAGATATAGAACACCGAACCATAAATATTCCTATTGGAATGAGTCCAACGTGGGTGAGGTTATGGAGTATTTTTAAAATTACTTCGTTGCGTTACTGAATCTACACGGAGACGAGACCCGC